TAGTAGTAGTAGTAGTAGTAGTAGTAGTAGTAGTAGTAGTAGTAGTATAGTAGTAAGAAAAATACACCAAAATGTATTATTAGGTATGTGTTATTTTTTTGTTAATATTATGATTGGTACACAAAGTCCCCTTGATCGTGCGTTCCCCTGTCTGTCACCACTACTCCGCAACGTAATCCGTTGTGTGTGTCGGTCATCCCCTCCGAGAACAAAGGAACGCGCGCGCGTTCGTGTACGTGAATTTTCCCCTGTCTACCACCCGCCGCCGACTGTTGTATATCGTAAAGTGCGCGGGCGCCTCGCGTGTGTGTGCGTATTCGCGTATTCATCAGCTGATCGCGCGCGTACCTCACTGATAGTAGTAATATGTGACCGCACCGTCTATTTTTAATCGAATACTGTTGTATCGCAATCCACCGGTAAAACGAGTTGTGATAACGACATGACGATGTTAGACCGAGAACCCGTTGAGGGTACTCGGTGACGGCAGTAATATCGCGATGTTGGTTTCGTGTGCGGAATCGCCAACGACTGACACCAGTTCCAGCGAAATTCGTGATAATCAAAACGCAGCGACCGTCGTCATCTACTCGTCCCGTCGCCGTTTTCCCCGTCTATCCGAATCATCCGGTCTGGTGCTGCTGTTGTACGTGACGTTTTAAGTTGTGGGTAGTTGGTATGATAATAATATTATCGGCATTACACTAAAGTTAAAACAACAGTATTCTACCTACAACATATATGCGCGACATGGCACATGCACGGCTCGTAATATAATCATTGCCGTAATACAACCGTTGCTGCGGTGTGACCTTTACGTGTCGCCGTGTGCACGCGTGTTGACTACAGTACACACAATAATAATAGTAATAATAATAATTATCATCGCAGTGTGCCGATGTGTGTTATTGGCGGTTGTTACAACCAGTCGCCGTTTGTTTAGCGTGGCCGGCACGTTACGGAAATCTCTTCATGTCATAAATTATTGTTCTTATTGGTTATCGTTCTCTCCGCGCGCGCGCATCGTCGTCTCGCAGCCATCGGCCGCCGTCACTCGTTATTTTCACTTTTTTCATCGCGCTTTGACGATATTTTTTCGTTCGGTTTACGCTCGTAGTCGTCTTTTCTCGCCTTGTCCCCACGATCTCAATTCGGTACGTTGCTGAATGTTTGTTTAATAATAATCATTTGACATAGATACACCACTTAACGAAAAGTTTAATGAAGATTAGAAATAAATCTTATAACTGTGAACATCATTATTGAGTTTCGTTTAATTATAATTGTTTATTTATTTTTTATCCTGTTATCTGTACGTTTTTATTTATTATTATTCGATATTATAGTAATATGCATACGTATTAGCGTACTATTACTAATAACTTATTCCGTCGATTGTATTTTGAATTTTGTTAAATTGGGATAATTTTGTTTTATGTAAAAATACATTTTAGCATGTTATTTATAACTACTATTAATAAACGAGCGACTAATTTAATGTATACCATTTCCATTAGAACTTAGTGTCTTATCGTGTGGTAGTATTTCATGCCGCTTATGCGTGTTGATTTTGCTTTTATACGGGTTTTCTGTTTTTATTATCAAACTATTTTATCCACTTAGTCAAATTTTGGTATTTGGTTTTATTTTCTATCGGAATCATTGATTTTATTTGTTAATCGTAAAGCATTAAATGAATACATATTTTGTTCCTGTTATTAAAATCTGTATGATATAATATTATTAAGACATACTGATTTTTTTCTGACGGAAATATTCAGATTAGTATCATATATATTGCTGATTATTAATGATTTATTTTAATATTTTTATATTTATCATCATTTACTTAATTGCTATTTTTCTATAGTATGTTTTTTTCATTGAATGTTTTATATTACCCTTTTGCACTATTTATTTATTTTCAATAAGAATTTATTTATTTGTTCATGACAATAATATTAAAATTAAAATTATTTTGTGAATTATATTCTAGTTTTACTTCAGGAGTATATTTCTTTTTAAATTTTGAGTTATTTAGTGTATTATTGTATAATTGGGTTGAAAGAAGTATAATATATTATAGTATAATGCGATGGAAAAATATTTTTTGGGTCCCATTGGATTATTTTACAAAAAAAGTCTAGTATAGAAATTGAACTAATTTTATTATTTTCTAAATTATGTATAATTATTTTTGGACAATATCTCATTTAATAATTAGATGGAACTATTGAAAATAATATTCTTTGTTAAATTATTTAATGATGTTTTTAATACCACTAATACAGTTTTGAGGTGTTAGATTTTGTTATGTTGCGTATTAGATGACTGATGGATACAGTTAATGTGCAACTATAATATTCTATTATGTAATTTTTACTATATTTCTGCTATAGCTTCTTCTTTTAATTACCTACAAAAAGTATGAATTATTTAAAAGTTGTATTAAATATTATTTTTATGACATATAGTTCTTACCAATTATCTTACTTATTATATATTTACATAATTTATTTCTTATACCTATTTTAAAAAAGTTTGAGATATATTTTAATTAATTAACTATTTTGTGAATTTAAATCTGAATATAAAAAAATATAGAATTTACAGGTGTATTTTTTTACTAAATTCTATGGGACTTTCTCAATAGATTTAGAAAGTATACATTATCATTTTTTTCTTTTTATCATAACTTTTGTACTGTGGTACTTATAAGCTTGAATAATACAGTTTTTTTTTATATAGTTTTATGGTTTCATTTATCATTACATAAACGTATTTGTGTGATAAATAATAATAAATTGTTTTCATTTATGAAACTGCTATCAATATAATATGTATACACTGTATAGGTACTTCACAACATAACTATTACTACCAACACATTTTAAATAATATTTTCCTGTTTGCTATAAAAGTAATTTGTATTTGAGTTGTAAGAAATTATAGGACTTAAAATGTTTCTGTTTGACAAAAAACAGAATAATTACAGTTGCATAATAAGAACGTAATATTTAATAATATTAGAAATATCATTAAATAATTTTAATTTTGAATTTAAATATTTTATTGAAAATTATATTTTTAACTATCTTAATTATTTACAAAATATGAACCAATATTATTTTATGGTTAGGTAATCAATAGATATTTTAGTACTAAATTATTCTATAGTATTACCTAATTTTAGTTTTTTTTTCTTGTTATCCGTAATTTTAACATTCATTGATTTTTTAGTTAAAAACAGTTGATCACGATTCTGGCACTGAGTCTGACGACGAGCACAGTCCAGATAGAGAACCAAAAAGTACAAGACCTGGTGTACCTAAATCTTCCCAATGTAAGTTTTTGAATTAATATATTGTTTTAAATTATTATTTTCAACTTAATAATTATTATTTTTATTTTTTTTTTATTTCCATTTATAATAATGTCATAATTGATGATATTTATTTAGTTGAAATATCAAAATATGCTTAAATATATTACCATTATAAGTGTATCTTGAGTAATATTTTTTTTTACAAAGAAACTATTTAGATACGCAACATTTTCGTAATTCAAAATAATCATGATATTATATTTTTATATTTTATTTAGTTAATAAATACATAGTAATATATTTGATTAGTGTCTTAAAGTATATCCATCTTTCTATAAATTTATATTTACATAACTATATTAAAAAAACTATGTCTTATAATTATTACTAAGTACCTTTATAATAATACTTTTTCCAAATAATTAAAAATGTATTATGGAGGTATATATTAGATGTATAAATGTTTTTATATTTTATTATTAACAATTATTTATGAAAAATAAATTTAATGAAAGTTCATGTCAGAAATATTATTGCATATTATGTGTATATTATGTATATATATTATGTGTAAGTATTTATGACTGATTTCAATTTAAAAAATCATTCTGAGATTCAAAAAATAAATTAAATATAAAAATAAAATGAAATAAATTGAAAATTATTTATATTTTTACTTAAAGAAAAGTTAGTTGAATAAAATAAAAAAATTGTAGTAAAATATATTGTTTTCAATTAGGCGGATTAAATAGTGTAGAGTTAAGATCTTATTTAAAATTCCTTAGTTAGGTAATTACATGTTAATTAAATACTCTGTATCCAAACAAACTAATTTATTTAATTTTTTTTAATAATATTTTAAAAACCTTTAATAAATATTATTTCCATATAATTTATTAATGATTTCTTTTATATTATTTACAACTAATCAATAGAATTATTGTTAAAATAATATATTGGTATAAGGTTGTTAGTATTTATTTTTTTTGAATGATAAATTGTGTTGTGTTATTACATTTTTAGATTTATACCTTATTAGTCATTAGTTATGACTAATGACTTTTCATTTTTTGTGTTTATTGTTTTTCACTTACACCAATAATGATTATTTAATATATAACATTTTATCAAACCATTATCTTATTTAGAACCAATAATTAATTTTATTAATTGATAAATTTAATAAGCTTATTTGTAAGATAATCATAATTTATAATAGATGTATGCCAATATTTTTTTTTAAACATAAATAAATGAGTTATTTAAGCTTATATTATTATTTTCTTGAAATGGATCAAATGTACATTTAAATATTATCCAGAACTGAAAAGTTAAACAAATATAAACTTTTTATGGTTTAAAATTAACATAATATTTTTTAACTTTTTTTTTTAGTTTAATTTTAAATTTTAATATGTATAAATATTTTTGTCTTGTATTTTGAAGTTTGTTGAAGCATGAAAGTTTTTTTTTTTAAATGTGTGTTTGCATATTTGCTATGCCCTCATAGGAATACCAAAACCAAACTCTTTGCCATACTTGACCTAATTGACACAAAAGAACTGTTCTGGATTCTCAATCATCCCTCTACGATTATTTCTCTTCTACTTGCTATTCACTGTGCTAACATCCATTATTATTTTTTTCTTTTTATTTCTCTTTCTTTCTCATATTTTTAATTAAACTCTCAAGTAAGTGTATTCATGTAGACTTGTTATAGCCATATTCAATGATATAAAAAATTATATGTGATGTGTAATACTTATATTTATGTATACTTTTCACTTTTTATTAAATTTATTGACAATCATTAATGGTGACTAATGACAAATGTCAAAATATTATTTTTTTTTTATTATAAGAGTTATACATTATTTAATTTGACCATGTATTTGTGTTTATCTATAAGCAGTTTAAATAGTTTTTGTATATAATAAATATAATTAAATACTTAAAAATAAAAAATGTATTAAAAAAACATATTATTTATTTTCTCATAATTTAATTGGATTATTTTAAATGTTTTTACGGAGCATATATTATTTATGACTTACTTAATAAAATAAAATTTCATTATTCCTTTACTTTAATAAAATATTTTTTTTTTTTTTTTAGTAATGGAGAATATTGGGAGTGAAGATATGGTTGGTGGTGATATGGAACCCACAAGATCTTCTAGTAGTGGCCGCAGCAGTGTTGCAACTCCTGGTCCTTCTCCATATTTTTTAGACTCTGCTTTACCTAGTGATTGTGATCATCATAGTTCTGAGGAAGAATTAGAAGTCATAAATAGTAATCCTGAAGGATTACTACAAGTTGAACTTCCTACACCTGATCCAGATGAAGCAAATTCTTGTGGTGTTCCTGAAAACTCTGTAGCATCTTTAGCTCGTAAACGTTGTCGATCTGCCAGTGAAGCTGGTTGTGGAAACACAATAGCTGTTAGTTGGTCAGGTTCATCAGATGATGAAGTACAAGGACTTATGTCAACTAGACCAACTCCACTAAAATTTTGTGCATCTCCTCCATCTCATGTGCACAAACCTGGGAAATGTACTGTATCCTCTTCACCACCTTTAAAATTGGTACATTTGTCACCTAGGCAGTCTGTATCTCTGCCAAATACTTCACCTCGTAAACGTCACAGACAAAGGCATCATCCTACTCGTAATGTACAGAGACCATGTTTAGACTTCGAAAAAATGCAACAGGTACAAATATAAGTATATTATTTATTTATTGCTAAATAATATATAATTGGTATATTTATAAGTATGTATGTTTTTATTAAAATTATGAAAAATAATTTTACCAGTTAAATTAATGACTAATAATCCAACTTTGTATATTCTTGTCTTGATATTTATCAATACTATTCTATAAATACTTTTACCTATAAATTAATTTTTTTTCCGGATAAACTTGACCATAGTTATATTTCTGGTATTATTAATATGTATAAAAATTATGTTTTTATTTTAAAGTTTTTAAAGTTTAGGTATTTCTCATTTAAATTATTATTTTTATATGTATATCTTCAATTCTTTTCTAATGAGGAGGCAGTGAAGTAACTACCAAGGTCCTTTGGTTTCCTGTAGTATCCACTCTAGACTAAGTACCCTATAACCCTTAGTCTTTATAGTTTTAAATTGCATGAATAAACTGTTTAAAAAGTCGTCAGTTTCGACAATATTTTACTAATCTAAGTGTATTCACATTGAAAAAGAATTATTACATTTTATTAAAAATGCTGAAAATATATTGAATATATTTGGTAAATCTAATAGAAAATAAAATAACTTTAAGTTAAGATAAAATTTGTTGAATTGATTTTAGTGTGTTATTATTATAGTCAAAACTAACTAATGATATTGTGTAAGGTATAAGGAATTTGGTTACTTTGTGAATGTTATAATAGTCTTCAAAATTTTAACTTTAGTTTTAGTTGCATACATAGTGACGAAATTAGGATTTATTTTTGAGGGGATGGGTTATAAATAAGGTGACCATATATTTTTTTAGTTGAAATGGAATATAGTTAATCATTAATAAGTAACATTAATAATATTTATTATAAATAACTTTTTTTTTTGTTTAAGAAAAAGCGTCTACTTAAAGAAAACGTTCGAAAATTTCTGTAACGAATATTGAAATTATGAACTAAAAAATAATTTAGAAATTTTGTGGTAGCACTGATATTGCGATGTTTATATACAATACATCGTTGACTACAATAGTTATTTTTATACTTCATTAGTGTCGATAACAATAATTTATTAACAAATTAAAATTGATTATCGTTATTATTTTTTACTATTTTCTAAAAAACGGAACATTTTAGTGTCCCGAAAATTCCCCCGGGGAAAACGGGACAAAGATACAATAAGATGACCTGTCCCGTTCAAAACGGGATGTATGATCACCTTAGTTATAGAATTAAAAAATTTAAATTTGGAAGGTGTTTGGTAGGAAGAATGATGTAAGGCTGAGTTAACGACTTATTTCGGGGAGGGGTTCACATCCTCCCCTTGCTAGTTGTGCCACTCTATGTAGGAATATGTATGCGCGGAGACCTCTATACACTGTCTTCGGTGGATATTTTAATTATTGTGTTTTTTTTTTTTTTGTAATTAATGCAAAAATTCAGTGGCGTCGATCCCTATATCCAATATCAGTTGTAATACCTGTTAGGGGTGGGTGTGTGTAGTAAGCCTGCGAAACACTGGCTAATATTATTATAATTTATGAAAGTTCTAAATTATTTTATTTATTATCTTAGCTAACATGAATTATGATAAAAATAAACTCTAATCATTAAATTTACTTATTATTACTCGTAGTTATTAAAATTATAGATGATAATTATAGATATATACGATGGGTGGGAAAAAAATTGAAGGCAGTCCCTCAATCTACTGTGGGTAGGTTGGGGGGGGGTCTTGCTTTGCAGGTATACTTTGCAATACCTCTAAAAACTGACTTCGGCACCACTGCAAAAATTAATATTTTTACATATGTTCAATTAGCCAACAAATAACTAAGCATGATAATTAATACCACATGTGATTCTATTTTATTCATATATATTGTATATTGTATTATATATATTGTACTAGTTTATACCATTGCATATTTAGTCTTGTTCGTTATGTTATAGAATTCTTATTTCTACTTCGAAAGAGAAAATATGGGATTTAGTGAAGAATAAATTAAATTATTCATTATTTGTAATATTAATTACTAGGGAACGGATTTATATGTAATAAAAATACAGAAATATTTACATATATGTGTAAATATTGTTTATAAAATATGTGCTAAAAACATCCAAATATGTGGGAAAAAATTGAATTAAAAAAAAAAAAAAAAATTATAATTATTAAATTACCAAAATGATTTGCTGCATTGAATTTTTACAATATCTTTTAAATTATCAAATGTTAAATGTCGCTTAATAGATCTTAAAATATTTTTAAAATGGCTAAATGATCACTCCACATCAACCGATGTAATTGAAGCATATTTGCAGCGCATAATATCAGAAGGCCATAATTCTAATTTTTTAATAGGGTGTCTGTCACTAATTATGTCATTGATTGTTTTAAAATCAATATAGCTTGAACTTTTTTTTTGTAACAACATGAATTTTTTTTTTTACAACATCTATTGGTCCGCTAACAAGTTTTAATTTTTCAATCGTTGATTCGACAATTTGCATACTATCATTTAAGGACATATTTTTTGTTTTTAATTTTGTAATTGTATGTGCAATAAAACTAAAATTCACTGAGATGAAAATTAAATTTTTTTTCAATGTTTCATTTTGCATAATATTTTGAGCTTTTCCAATAGAGATAGAAGTTTCTGTATCTAAATTTGAAATAATTTCTTGTATTTTCGTACGAAGAAGACGTATGAATGATGAAATGATAAAATATGTTAAAAAATATTTACAAATTAGTGAAATATGTAAAAATATGTAAAATAAAAGTATCTTCATATTAATAGGAATGATTTAAATCATGAACATTTCGAATCTTAAATATCTCGTTTTAATAAAAATATGCTTTTACATATAAATCCGTTCCCTACTAATTACAAATTACAAATAAAAATGTATTTTTATAAAAGGTTATAAAGTATCTTATGAAAATTCCACTTTTATTTTAACATATTTGTTTTTACATTGGAACATGATCTTTTTTTTTTTGATTGAATTATAAAAATTGCGGTGATTATTTATGAAAAAATTTGTTTCGTTGGCATTATTTAGTGAAACCCTTGAGTTATTTACCAACTGGTCTTTATAGTTAGTTGGGTAGATAACACAGAACTGTTATATTGTTTATCACGTTCGATTTTTTTTAAGAAAATGTTAAAAAATAAATTTGCGTGCGTTTTTAAAACGCGATCGCTTACCGATTGTATTCATGGCATTGTCATGAAAATCGATTGTTATTGTGTGTGTAGTGTAAACCATTATTTTCTTTTTTTTTTTTTACGAATCCGAGAAGGAGTCTTCAAGTATTTTATTTTGTTCTCCCCTCCACCTAACTACTATATTTATTTCCTCCCGGAGTATTTGTGTAACATGAATTAGACTGTGTTAAAAGTAAACAAGTCTCTGAAGGTCACCTTTCCCGCTATTTTTACATGATGGTTCTTTTATACACCTGCATATACTTACATATATACATACATACGTACATAAAAACTTATATATGTATATTTATATTATTATATTTTGATACACCGATGCCTATTATGCGTGTGGTCTGAGTCTTGGAATCTTCTGGTGCCGGACTAACAACGTAGTTGTCTTCTCCCTCTTTTCCATCTCTGCTATAGATCTCCTTCGTTGTCCGCCCACTTAACACCCGTCTGACGACGATCACATTCCTTTACTATTTTACTACCACAGACCGAATCCCAGTTACTACTTACTATATTCAATGCACTGTAATATGCAGCTGCCATGACTGCCAACCGTCCATTCAACAATTTATATTTCGTGTTGCCGTAATTGTTTGTAGAAAGTAAAAGGATTAATATTTTGCGACGAAAAAAAATTACTCCTTTTTATTTAATTGTTATTATATTTATTTTATGTAATTATATCAATGTATCAGTTATATATATATATATATTCACTGGTTGCTTATGATATTATTCGAAACCTATGGTAGATCGATTAAAATATTCTTGAGAAACTTGTTAGTGTAATATTTTTGTGGTAGTAAATTATTAGTGTTTTTATTTATTTTAAATTATATTTGCCTTTTTAATCTAAAATATATATGATAACAACATTTTTTATCTGCTTTAATGTTGTAGCACAAACAAAAGCTTTTTTTTTAGATGGATACATTTATTTATTCTTTGGGTTCATTAATTAATAATTATTATAATATTATGACTAATAATTTTCCATAACACATGGTGCAAGTTAACTGGTGCAGTGTATAAAATGTGTTTGTACATTTTATTTTATTTTTATATTTATAATGATTATTTTATTTTGCTTTTATGAATACAATTGTGAATATTTATTGTATAGATGATAATTGTAATTTATTGCAAATATGATAATATAATAATAAAAATAACAATTAAATATTTTGAATAAGGTTTAGATCAGTAGTTTTATAGTATAATTATAAAGGGGTTAAAAAAAAATGAAATATTACTAAATTATCTTACGAAAGAAGCGTTAAAACATTAAATATACCTTCTTAAATTCAAACATAGGTAGGAAAAATCTATTAAGTAAAATATTTGTGAAATTTAATGACGTTTGTCAATTATTGTTGTTATACTGTCTAGTTATTATAAAATTAATGCATATGAGTTAGGATGATCATCAATGTATCACTATAAAACTTTTTTTATTTTTAAATCTAACTATAATTAATACAATCTTTCATACATGTTAATTATAATCATATAATATTAATTCATTATTTATTTCGGTAGTATTTAATTTTTATAAATAATTATTAAAATATTTTTAATTTTAATTATAATACATTTTGTACAAATGAAAGAAACTTTATTTTTAAATTATTTAGTTTTTATATATGCTTAAGACACAGATGGATTTACTATTTCTTGATGTCTATAAACAAATGTGTACCTGTCCCTAGTCAATTTTTACATTTTTATGTTATTTTTATTACTAAAATATTGATTAATATAAAATAAAACTGTTGAATTCATATGAAAAACTTTAAAAATATAGTTCATTATCTATAAAACAAGCTATTTGTTTTCTAAATATTTACTGTTATAGGTATTTGTCTATTTTTTCTAATACAATATTATATATAATATCACAAATTATATCATCATTATTCAATTATCATTATTAAATAGTATATTATTAAATTATTGGGTTTTTTTATAAAACAAGAAAAAAATTTAGATGGTTTTATACTTAATATTAGATATATTTTATGTTTTTAATCTAAAATTAAAATTATTTATGGAAATAATAAATTTTTAATTTTATTGGTTTGTTTTTTACAGCTTAAATCGTTGTCAGCAACTTCATGGAGGCATACCAGTAAGGACCACAGTGGTGAATTATCAGTGTATTGTTGGTGATTCCATAAGATAAAATTTTACTGTTGTTTATATATTTTTCCTTCTTTTTCAATTTTTATTTTTATCTAGAAAGGCTGTAATAATAATGTTTAAATTGTTAAGTTCGCCATAACTTACTATTTTTGGCCAATTTGTTTATTTGGTTTGTACCACATGTTATGAATTTAACAATACCCTCTACATCACAATCGAAATGTGGTAAGTGGTTCTTTCAGGACCTCATCTAACATAATAAATTAAAATTAAGATTTTAATTTAAATAAAACGGATTTTTTTCCCCGTTTGAACAGACGCCAACAAGGGAATGGGTTGTCCCAGTACTTTCCCATAAATTAAACTGATCTAGTTCATTGAATTATTTTATATATGTTTTTATTATTATTTGTGCTTTGTGCTTTGCTAGTCTGTAAAATTCACCAACAAAAGAAGACCAATTCTCATGTGTTTGTATTCTTATTCCTTAAAATTTTTGTCTCATTAACTTTTTTTTATTATTATTTAGTCATTTAATACCTACTTATATATGTTAACACGTACAATTGTGTTTAATTTAAGTGAATTATAGTTAGATAATATAATTTACTCAAGTGTCATAATTTTCTTAATTCCTATGTATATTTATTTTAGTAAGTCTAACATCTAACTATATAGTTAGCCCTATTAAAAAAGTATTTCATTTATAAATTTTATTTTTTATACAGTCAGGTGTCATAGCTTAATATATTTGAACTGAAGATTTCATTTTTAAAAGTAGAATATGATGTGTTAATTTAAATTTATTATACTTCAATATGAAAACATTTGAGTATTGAAGCTAATGTGATTTATTTAAGTTCTGTTAAATGTTACCTTAATGCTTTTGCTTTAACATATTATATTTTATGTTATAAAAAAAAATTATTTTATACTTGCTTAAATGATGATCACTATCGGATTGCTGGTTATTACACTGTTTAATTGTTTAGTACTGAATCTAATCAAAAGTTCAATAGCTACACCTTGTATAATATAGAACCATACTTGTAGGCAATTGTATGACATTATTACTATTACTAATAACCAAAATGTATGCAAATGTTGCCAAGTATTAACAATGCTACATAAAAAATGTCTATCTATATATATGTATGTGTATACATACATAAAATTATTAAACGTCTTCCAACAATTTGTTAGAAGTAACAGAAATAATTTCTCCTTTCAAGCTATATTCGGTTTGTGATGAGTTTGAAGTATGTTTTCCATTGTACCCGATAGTATTAGAATACCTATTTATAACATATTTTTGATCAACAAAATTGTATTTGTTTTTTGGTTCTCGAATTATTCATATTTACTTGTGCATGTATGTAAATTATTGAATATCTTGGAAGTCTATTGCAGAGGTTCCCAAACTGTTGGTCGCTTCAAGTTTTAAAATTAATAAAATTGTATACACTTTATTCATAATACATACATTGAATATTAGATTTATATAAAATACGAGTATATTATCGTAAAGTATTTCTTTCTTTATTATACATTCAGTATTTTCCGTTGATATCTCAAAACTTAGCTTTATCTTTAAATCATAAATGTTAAAGCAAGGGCGTATATAGACTTTTAGTAGGGGGAGACGACTCAATTTTTTTCTTTAATCCAGGCTCAAAATTTACAAGTCAGATTTTGGTAATATTTAAGTCGGGCAAATCCTTAATATTTGTGGTTATTTTTTTTTTAATCTAATGTCGGATCCACTTAGAATCGACTTTTAAGTAGTTCTTTTTTAACACCTATCTGTGTTTTGAAAGTTACGTTTGTGTTTTATTTGATTTTTCACTAAGTATGGACCCGACAAAAAGCCCAATTCAGTATTCACAGCCACGCGTGATTTGATTTCATTATAAAATAATCCACATTTAAAACAATTTGTAATGTGTATCTCACATACTCGTATAATCGATTCCTTAAATACGGATTCAGGGAGGGGGCGATTGCCCCCTTCGCCCCTTAAAATACGCTCCTGTGTAAAAGAGCAGGAAAAAATAAATTTTATTAATTATTTTGGTGCTTCAAAATTTAAAAAATTATCAAATGACTTGTACTATTAAAAGTTTGAGAACCTCTGGTCTATTTTATATCATTCATTACTTATATGCACAGGTTTGTTTTAGTTTTAGTATAAACGTATATTACTTGATAGTTGATTACAATTGTGTTTATAGTCATCACTAGGGCTGGGATTTATATGCAATAAAAAATTTTATAATACGCATTTTATTTACCAAAATATGCAAAAAGAAATTTTTATTATTTCTAAAATTATTATTTATCATAACTTATTATTATATAAAATAATATTTTTTACCAGTGTTTTTCAACCTTTTTAACAATACGGCACACTTCCATTACAAAATGTTTGCGGCACACTAATCCACATAACATGTGAACCATATTTTATATATGTGCATATGTACAGAGTGTTTCTGAAATTGTTGAGGAAATTAGTATACGCGTACTCTCTGGAGTGGCAGAATAAAGAATCTTTTGAAATTTATTTTCTATTTTCAAAACCCGAGTTTTATCTTATTACCTTTAGAACATTATTTCGAATCTAATAATAAATACTTGTTAAAGATTTCTTGAAAATTTTTCATGTGAATCGATGTCTGACATCGATTATGGGTTTGTTGCGCGTTTTTCACACTCGATTCGTCAGGATCTAAATATGTGATGAGACATAATTTTGTATGTGAACTCAGCAAGATAAACAAATATCATTTATTTGTAGTTACTTCACATATCTGATTAATTAACACGGTGTTCATTGAACTTCAAATACATTTGGTTTAGTTATGATTATTTTACCGATTTTATTAAAACCGTGTTAATTAATCAGTTATGTAAAGTAACAACAAATAAATGTCACCTTTGTAAATCTTGCAGAGTTTTCATACAAATCGATATGTCACACCACCATCTTTTGATCCTGGCGAAATGACCGTGAAAAACACGAAAAAAGCCCATAATCGATGTCCCATATAGATTTACATATATATTAATACAATTTGAAATAAATTTCTAATAATTTTTAAATTCAAAATAGTGTTCTAAAGATAATTAGATAAAACCCAGATTTTGAAGATTTTTTGAACCAAGGTTTCTTGAAAAAAAAATTTCAAAAGATTCTTCATTTGATCACTCCAGATAGTACGCGTATACTAGTTTTCTCAACCATTTCAGAAACACTCTATATACACTGTTTTCAGACTACTCTATTTGAGGGTTAATTATTGTGAAATACATTAATCAATCGATCGATTGAGATAACTGTGACAAGCATACTTATAATAAATAATATTATATGTATCTACGATTAGTTTAATCAGTTTTCACTGAATATGGATAATAATACTGGTAAATACATACTCATAAAACAATTTATAGACTTATCAAGGGCGCTCGCAGCACACTAGTGTGCGATTGAAAACCACTGATTTATATTAATGTAGTTAATTAGTGGTACTAATGAAATGAAATACTTCTGTACTATCTCACAACATAAGTACTAGATATCTGCATGGGCCAGGCTTAAAATTTAAATCTAAGCCAAGCCGAGCTTTTTTTTAACGATACACGGACCCTGGGCCGGGCTTTTAAAGTTTTAAATTTTTTACGTTCCGGGCTAAACATTTGAGTGTCTTAAAACAATTGTAATAATGATATCCTAATAATAAAATACATATATTATATTAGTACAAGCCCGTATTTAGGGGGGGGGGCAAGGGTAGGCACATGCCCGGAGGCGTCAAGTCTCAGGAGCGGTGAAATATTTTAGCAAAATTAATTTTAAAAATGATGTATCTACCTAATGAAAAAAAAATAAAACAATAAAAAAAAGAAAATAGTATGTTTTATTATGTAATAATTTGTTTAATTTGTTAATTAAAAATAGTATTAAACGATTTTCATGTATAAGTTATATTTTAATATTAAAGAATCTCGATTATGGACGAAATAATAAGTGTTATATTATTGTTATTTCTTTTTTTTTTGGGGGGGGGGAGCATGAATGATATGCCCGGGGGCGCCAAATGTTTAAATATGGGCCTGTATTTGTATTATTAATAAAAATAACCAACATTATTTATTTTCATCTTGACATGGGCATTTTAAAATAAAAGAATAAATTATTTAAATGTGATTGAAAAACCAGACCTCAGTGTGTTTTAAGATCCTTTTACACCAGTGGCGCAACTACGGGGGTGCTAGGGAGTGCTTAAGCAACCCAAACTTAATTTAAAGCATTTTCATGTTCCAGGTCGTTGTAAATTAAAAGTATCTACAGTTAATGATTTTGTTCCAAATGCGATGGCAAGTGTACGTTTGTTAATCAATGTGTATGGAAATGATGTTATGTTATGATCACGTGATTTTGAGTGTGTATTAATAATAATTAATTTTTTGAACGTCGTAATGAAATTGAAGATGAACAAAGTGTCGACTGTCCATGCTTGTTAAAAACTGATGATAACATTTTAAAAATCAATGATGTACTAAAAGAACAGTTACAAATAATAGAATGATAGCTGAAATAGTTAATACAGTGGTTACCGCTTATAGTGATTACATTCGTTCAAGAGAACTTTGATCACTATAAGCGGCGACTCCAAGACACATTTTTTTTCACTAATTGAACGCGCGCTCCTACTAGCCATAATACAGTATACAACTACACACTATACAAACAATACACTGAACTAGGGCTGTTCGATTATTTTTTTTACCACTCGATTATTGATTTCAGGTTTTGATCGATTATTTGATTAATCAAAAATTAATATTCAAACCGAAAATCGATTTTTTTTACGATTGATTAATGAATAACCGAATTTTTTAATATCTAAATAACTGATTAATCAATTTTTTTTATTGACTGATTAACTGATTAATTGATTTTTTTTTAATGACTGATTAACTAATTAATCGACTTTTTTACAATGGATATATTGATTCCTCAACTTCTACACAATTTTCAACAAGATTTGCAGGATAAAATGTTGATGTAGATGTTCACTTTTATAATATTATCCTTTATATATTCCGAATTATTGAACTCAGAACATCATATTAGCATTTAGCAGACTTGGGTAAAATACTTTTTAAATGTATTTAGAATAAATACTCGAATACTTACAAAAAATAGTAATCCGAATATGTATTCAAATACTTTATACAAATTGTATTCCGAATACATTATTTAGAATACTTCAAAAGTATTCCGAATACTTTTAAAATACTTCTAGTTTTCATATTATAAAAATAATAGATGCCCACTCAACAAAAATATTTGAAATTGTAGGCTAAATATATGTTATTTTATTGTATTTTTATATTACATAACTGTTATAATTTATGGTTTACAACCAGCGGTTAAATTGGGGGGGAGACGGAGGGGGTGAAGACCCCTTATTATTTAAGGTAAGATTACGCGTCCTCTTTAATTCAAGTCGCCAAGAGTCTGGGTGGATGCTTAATGGCATTGGTCATTAAAATACAATATTGAATATACAATACTTACTATAATATTACAATATTACATG